CGAAACGAAGTCATTTAGAATGTTTTTAGAGCATAAACAGTAGTGTATAGGATTTCCTGAAAGCGCGCGCCTGCGCGTTCACGACGCTACGGAAGCCGGCAGACCAAACCAGATGAAAGTGAGGTTGACATACTATCAGAGTTATTGAAATCTCTATGAGTGGAAAGGCTTGACTCACTGAGAGTGTCAACAATGGGTGGTGAGGTTGCTAGAGGACCCAGATGCAGAGACGAGGGAAGCAGAGATGAGTTCTGAGAGGTTTAATTGCAGACAATAGGTAGCAGAGGCAGAAATCCAACTTAAAATATTAAACAAACCAAAACCATGGAGACATCAGGGGAAAAACGAGTCTGAGGAGCCAGGGGGAGACTAGCTGAGTAGACAATACAGCAACAAGAAGGAACCAGCACTGAGTGACTGCAGAGGTGGAGTATTTAAGGAGAACAAAACAAAGGATGGACTAACGAGCTGAATGAGGAGCAGGTGTGGGTGGAACTGGCAAGAGGGAATCCAAGGGGAAAGAAAACAATCACAAGGGGGCAACAGAGAGTAACTAAAGAATGCTAGAATATCATGGAAAATAAAAACAACTGATAACAGAAAACTGAAAACTTAGACACAACAAATGAGAACCATAACAGAGAGCTCCTTTAGTCAGTCAAATATTTGGAATCTTGTTGTATGGTTCAACCAATCACTATCACTTGGAACCCATTCTAGACTCTTGGTGAAAAATTGCTTCTATCGCCTGAGAAACAGCCAAGTTAAGAACAATTCTGTGAAACTGTGATCTTGAGCTTGTGATTCATTGTTTTATATCTTCTCACTTGGACTAATATCTTGCACAATTATATGTTTATTGCCCATCTCTAAGGGTAGGAAAATATATGATCTAATAAAAAATATTCAGACTGTCATATATTGTTTTGTGAAAATATGTCCCACTGGCTGCGTGTTAGAACAACGAATGAAAGTGTGAATCAAGCTCAAATCATGGTCAAACAGGTAGCTCTGCACATATATGGAATAAATTCTCCGCAACTTCACCACAACTATGAGTTTATTCTGAAAATTAAATCAAAGAGCTCAAACTCTTGACTAAACCAGTGAAACTAAACAAATCTAAGCTACTATGTACACATCAAAGAAGGGACAACATGATGGACAAACATAATCAATAAAAAGATGCAATGATATGACAGTTTGGCATAAAATTTATGTTTGAGAAACAGTCTTGTAGAATTTGGAATTTGGTAAATTTATCTTATAAACAATTCAGAGCAATTGGAATGCATTCAAAGCAGTTCACTATGCAAATCCAAGAGGTAAATAAAGCATTATTTAGAAATAATTTTACGATAAGTGATTTGCTTTATCATAACACCAGAACCTTTAGTTAACTGACATGAGGGGACCCCTCTTAATTATCACCGCTCTTGATCATATTTTGGTAAAAAATATTTTGGGTGAGCATATAAGAAAACAGAAAAATGTTGATGTTATATTATTATTTAAACACTTTGTGAAATAAAACTTGGTTTAGCTCAGAAAATGTGGGTGTGGCATACCACAACCAGATCAAACCTCAAACCAGGAAATGAGACAGGTGCAGATTTCTGTTGATGGGTAAGATTAAATCACGGTGTGCTATTTCCATATTGCAAACTGACAAACAAAAGGATTTGCTAAAAGCTGTAAGGACATTGATCTGTTTAAGATAGTTAGGCAGATATATCTTGAGGTATGCGGTTGATGACTTAAATATATTAACTTTATCATCAAGTGAATACTTAAAAAAGGTCTATCAAAGAATGTCATAGAGATTTCATGTCAAAAGGGGAAAAATTACAACAAATTAAGATTAAAAACTAAATATTCAAATTCTAATCCTACACAGCTACTTGTAGAAAAAAAAATTAAGTGTAAAGAAACAGAACAATAGTGCAGAGTCTTGATAATAAAAAACTTACAGCAATAAACAAAGAGACTGATACTAATTAAGGTTACAGAACTCAGCAAAGTCTCCAACCCAAAATCCAACATACAGCGGCTGACTGAATCTGGTCTGAACTCTGTGGAGGAGAGTCATGGTTTCAGAGACGTCGTAGAAGGACAGAACACCTGCTGAGTGATCCAGGTACACTCCTACTCTGGTAGAACCAGCATCTGAGATTAAGGTCCAGACGTTGTTGTGACGAAATCTGGAACTGTTTTGAAAACACTCTAATGCCCAAGATTTGTCATTGCAGCCAAATCCACATTCCTTCCCTTTTCCTGCTCTGCTGATATTCTTGTACGCGACTGCAACAAAAAATCCTATCCCTGTCCTCTCCACCTCCCAGTAACAACGTCCAGTCAGACTCTGTCTGCTCAGAACCTGCATCCAGTCAGTGAATCTGTCTGGATGATAAGGAATAGACTGATGTTGACTCGTTCTTGTTACCTTCCTGTTCC